GATTTTTCCATAAAGGTACAATAATAATACCTTCTGCTCGGTCGAAAATAAGTTTCTTAATCACTTTCAATATCAAAGGAAATGGTAGAAAGGCATAAAAGTTGAGATCGGTCCAGGATAATGAGAACGCATCAATTGCTATGGAACCTGGATCTGATCTCCATGAAACATAAAGTGGACATTTTGTATTCATATATGAAGCAAATAAATCTATAGAAGGCGATCCTAACCGTACTGTAATGATTTTAAAAGCTCTATCGCATAAAGCATATTCGGTTTCTATTTTTGACGATCTTGACTCATAATCACCTTTATTATCTCTCGATCTAACATAGGAAGCATATAGGAAAATATTCCTATCTTCACACAATGTCCATATTGCTTTAGACAACGAAGCTAATTTTTTATTTTTTGTACTCCCCATTTTATTTATACAAGCAATTGCCGTAATGTTATCAACTTTGAGTAAAATATTGAACAAACGACTGTAATGAGTACAAACTTGCCAGAAGCTCCAGATAATTAATATGGTGCTTTGCTTCTTCTTTATTCAAAACCACCTGTTTCTTGAGCAGAACAAACTGCACCCCAGTCTGAACTAGACGCATTGGAAAAAATTGTATACGAATAACAACGTTGGATTACTGTACAGCCAGACCTATTAATATTGTCTAACCACCAATTTAAATCGGACAAACTATCTGTCGATAATTCCATTTTCGCATTATAATTTCCGTTTGATATTTTTAGGGATTTACATTTTAAATACTCAAGACTCATGTGCTCACCCATAAGTAAAGGCAGGGCATATCGAGACCAAATATCCGATAAGCTTAGCAAAGACACGAATTTTTAATTTAACGCAAGATTTAATGTCCGAAATAAATTGGGCAGCTCTATTAGCTTTTTCAACAGGTAAACTAATAGTTATATTTTTACTATCCCAAATAAATCCTAAAAACCTTATTCTTTGACATGGACTTAAACAGGACTTTTCAAAATTCACAAGGAATCCCAATCTTGAAAGTAAACCAATTGTAATTCGAGTATTTTTGAGGCATGAATTTTTGGATTCACCTAACACCAAAAGATCATCCAAATAACTTACAATTAACAAACCCCTCGATCTAAGATAACTTAAAATGGATTTAAATAATTTACAAAAAACAAAAGGCGCCGTGGACAAACCAAAGGGCAAAACATTAAATTCATATAAATTTTCTTGGAAGAGAATCTCAAATATTTTTTGTATTTTTTATGCATTGGTATGAGAAAATAAGCATCCTTTAAATCTATTGTGCACATGTACGAGTCTGGAAAGACAAGATCTCTTACTGTTTTAAAATTTTCTGATTTAAAATGCACCGTTTGAACATAAGTATTTAGTATTTTTAAATTTAACACAAAACGATAACCTCCAGAAGATTTCTCTACTAAAAATAGTGTGACAAGAATTCACCTTTTTTATGATGGCATCGTGATAATTATTTATTTTCTTGGGATTAGAACCCAATAGAGATTCATTCGATGCAACGGGCATTGACGTAGGGCAGGGATGCTTATGGACTTCCACCACAACGGACTGTACTGACCCCCCCTCTTCTTCTTGTTCGTCAGAAGAAGATGAAATAATTCTTATTCAAATACGTTTAAAATAATTTTATTTAAACGTATTTGATTCTATTAAACCTTCTTTGTCTTTGCGGTGGAGGTAATGAGTCTTTGTCGGAATCTTCAGTGTCGCTGCCACCTAAAAGGAGGCACGCGATAAATATTTAAATTCATAAAACGCTTTTTATTTATTTATCTAAACCGGCAAACTTATCGTATTTAATAACTTCAAAGCCCGATAAGCTGGCGATTAACAATTGCTTATGTAAGCAAAGACCCCCATAGTAAAATATAAAAGTAATAAAGTTTATAACACTGGGAGGATATGGATGCATAAACAACGATCCCGTAGCTAAAATAGCTAAAAGGGAATATACATAAATATATTCTCCAATTCATCCGTAATTAAAATTATTGCATAAACAACAATCTCTATGCCATGGTACCAAAGTATTAATGACAAATTAATACATAAATACATTAACCCAAAGGATTGGCACTTATTATGATTTAAAATATTATCGGTAATTGCATAAACAACAACTTTGGCATGGAATTGATTAGTAAAATATAAAATTAATAAAATATTCAACACTGGGAGGATATAGTTGCATAAACAACTATTCAGTAGCTAAAATAGCTAAAAAAGGGAATTACATAAATATATTCTCCAATTCATCCGTAATTGAAATTATTGCATAAACAACAATCTCTATGCCATGGTACCAAAGTATTAATAACAAATTAATACATAAACACATTAACCCAAAGGATTGGTACTTATTATGATCTAAAATATTATCGGTAATTGCATAAACAACAACTTTGGCATGGAATTGATTAGTAAAATATAAAATTAATAAAATATTCAACACTGGGAGGATATAGTTGCATAAACAACTATCCAGTAGCTAAAATAGCTAAAAAAGGGAATATACATAAATATATTCTCCAATTCATCTGTAATTGAAATTATTGCATAAACAACAATCTCTATGCCATGGTACCAAAGTATTAATAACAAATTAATACATAAACACATAACCCAAAGGATTGGTACTTATTATGATTTAAAATATTATCGGTAATTGCATAAACAACAACTTTGGCATGGAATTGATTAGTAAAATATAAAATTAATAAAATATTCAACACTGGGAGGATATAGTTGCATAAACAACTATCCAATAGCTAAAATAGCTAAAAGGGAATATACATAAATATATTCTCCAAAGACTTATCCGTAAATTGAAATTATTGCATAAACAACAATCTCTATGCCATGGTACCAAAGTATTAATAACAAATTAATACATAAACACATTAGCCCAAAGGATTGGTACTTATTATGATTTAAAATATTATCGGTAGTTGCATAAACAACGACTGTGGCATGGAATTGTTACAGGTACGTTTAAACATATACAGCATTGTGCAAGTAATTATTATAAAATTAAATACATTATAGATTTAAATAATATAAACTTACTGGAATCGGACAAAAGTTTTTCCTGGAGGGCAACTATCGTATCTTGAAGGCGTTTCATCTTTTTAGATACACTTCTTAATTGTTTTTCACACTTTCTTTTGTTCATTTTTAACAATTTTAAAAACCGTGACACACTCTAAGCGCACTGAAAACGTATTGAGGATCGGATTTGGGTCCAGGGAGCTGCATGGTCAGCGGAATTTTGTTTTGCTTAGATATCAGTGACACTTTAAGCGACAGAGACGTAACTACACAGTGGTCTATACGAACGTGGTTAAGAAGTATAATATACATAGTTATAAATATTGTTCATCGCATATCACTGTTATTGAAAAACAAATCATATTATAGCAAATTTCAATCCCACCAAAAACATAGAATGTAAAAAATGCCAAGTCTCGGCAATACAATTTCTCCACTATAAAAAGTTGTGACATCTGATGTAAAAGCAAGTCAGTTTATTTTATTTAGTTTCTCTTTATCCATATTGGGGATTTTTCCAAATTCCAGTTCCAAGGGGTTCCAAAAAGTTCCAAACCACCCCTCAAATATTACAATATTTTTTATTTAAAAAACTGTCAAGTTTCCGAAAAAAACGCTTAAACACGTATATTTTATTTTGTTTTTTATATAATTTAAGATTTTTTAATAATGGATACAGGGTGTTTCGAAAAATCTGGTCATTGATATTAATCACGATCCTGCTTAAAGCGCTTGACGTAAAAAGCCGATTTTTGGAAAACGGATTGACTTTAGGGTGTAGAGGTTCGATAAGAAGGGAATTCTCGAAACTAGAATTCTAAGGGGGTGAAACCACCCCTCAAATATTAGAGTATTTTTTATTTAAAACCGGCGAGTTTTTCGGAAAAAATCTTAAACGCTTATATTTTATTTTGTTGTTTTACATATTTTAAGATTTTTTAGAAATTTATATAGGCTATTTCATAAAATATGACTATTGAGTAATCACGATTCTGCTTAAACTGCTTGACGTTTAAAGCTCATTTTTGGCAAACGGATTGACCTCGGGATTGACTGTGGGGTGTAGAGGTTCGATAAGGAGGCGTTTCTCGAATCTCAAATTCCAAGGGGGTGAAAACGCCCCTCAAATATTACAATATTTGTTATTTAAAAAACGGTTAGTGTTTCGGGAAAACGCTTGGTCACGCATAATTTATTTTGTTTTTTTACATATTTTGAAATTTTTTAAAAAATCATACAGGGTGTTCCAAAAAGTTGGGTAATTGATTAACCACGATTCTGCTAAAACTGCTCGACGTAAAAAGCTTATTTTTGGCAAACGGATTTTTCGAAAGTCAAATTCCAACGAGATGAAACTATCCCTCAAATATTACCAAGTTATATAATAATATCGCCATATTGTTTTTTTCATGCTGACATAAATGTAAGAAAATTTTATCCAGTTCCAGTCCAATGGAAATTCTTGCTTTGCTTTATCATCACCATTACAAATGATCAATTCGACGCGAACGAAGTCGCGGGGGTACACGCTAGTTTATCATAAAGTAAAACTTATTTTAAGGTGCTCGGTGGCGTAGAGGTACAGGATCTCGTCTACCAATCTGAAGGTAGTGGGTTCGATTCCCACACCCGGCATTTCATCAGCCGACTATTTTTTATTAAAATAAAAATAGTTTGGGTACCTAGGTCGACTCAGCCTTAAATGAGTACTTGGTTTGGTTTGGTTCACAATCCTGAGGTAATAATAGACGGTTGAAGCGTAGTGCTAGCCACATTACCTTCCTTGTATACCGAACGGTTCTAGTATGGCAAGCTGTACCTTGCTACTCCCAAGGCGTTAAACGCTATATACGGGAGCTATTATTATTATAAACTTATTTTAAAATAACAATATTCTAATTTTCAAATTTTGTTCCAGATCTCAAAATTTGGTAAACGTTCCGGACGAACAACGGCTTGTGGAGTCTCAATTTGAAACGGTTCCAGTACACAGAGACGGGCCGAGAAAATCCGTGTCTATCGTACTTCCCACAGAAGAAAAAGGATGACTAGTGGACCTCTAGTCTGCACCATCGAGGAATTCATCACCCATTATCAATCATTAAAAACGTTACTACTAAGCCTAATTTGCAAAAAAAATAAAAGACGTAGACTTATGCATGTTATTTACGTAAGATAAGAATATTATGTCGTAATAATCATTCTTTTTTGTGATTCATATCGATATTTAATCGTATGTTAGAGAGTAAAATTTACTAGACTGAAAGTATATAATATGTATACCTTTTTCATATTATTTAAAACTGTGTTAGAATTAAATTTTTATTTGTATAGTTGCTTTCCATTCAGCTGATCTGATTATTTTAAATAATTCTAGATCAGCTGCCTGAATTATTTATGGATTATTATTTACTATTATCAAATTAGACCTAAAAGACTCAAAGTCGCTTTCTTTTGTACTGATCAGATCAGAAAATAAAGTAATTGTAAAAAAGGTGAGGTGAAAAATAATTTTATGACAGAAAAAAGCTTCAATCAGAACCTCGCAATTAGTGGAATAAATTAGTGGTTTCAATTAGCGTAGAAGTTTGTTCCTTTAATTTCAATGTAAGTATTCAGAATGTCAACATTAGTGGTAGACATTTTTAATTAGTAGAAAAAGTTATCAAACTTATAACTTTTCCACTAATTATACTTCAAAACCCGTCCACAGATTAGCCCTAGCAGCAAAAAGGAGACGTTAACTCAAATCTTTGCTTTTATACTTCAAAATTTGCGAGAAATGTAATTTTGGCCTTCGATTATCTTCCGTCAAGAGAAACTGTGGTTAGAAATCAAAAGTTGATTGTTTTATCAGCTAAATATTAAGCTTTCTCTATGGATACAACTGGCTAAGGCTAAGAACATGCAACAGAGCAAGCAGCGCGATACCGCGTCGAGCAAGCCTCGAGGTGCTGAAACATAGTAGAGCGGCGAGAAATAGCGAGATACTTGCGCAATTTTATTATTTTCATTTGCTTATTGATACTTTAAAATGTTAACAGTGGCTAAAATTCTGGGCAGTAATGTCGTAAACATTTGGTTAGATGAAGTTTTCAAAAACCCGAGAAAGTATGGCAAGTTTTATAACCTTTACGAAAATTTGTTGCCACTTCATCTCATAACTTATCTAAAATGCATCGGTTTGGTGATTACTATCTGTCTGATCCCATAAAATCTCTTTTACAAATACTAAATCTATTAATTTTTGAGAATCTATCATTTTCTACAGCGCAACAGAGCGACGAAAACAAAATTATTTGAATCGATCTCGCCGCTCGATCTAACCGCTCGAGCAGATCGCTTTACTATGTTCGCACGTACTTATCTTCACAGGTTTGTTTTGGACGCGATATCGCGCTGCGTGCTCGCCGCTATCCTCGTCGCTTCACTATATTCTTAGCTTAACGCAAGCTATTGCAAATTATATTGCTAGGATATTCGATCAATTTTACTTGTTTTTTAAACATTGTGAATGATCGTAAACTAAAAAGTATAAAGTGTAATTGAAACAACTAATTTATTCCACAAATTGGGGGCTTCGGAATGAAGCTTAATTGAGACCACTAATTTACTCTACTAATTTCGAGGTTCTGAGTGAAGCAAAACAGAAAAACTGAATGAAAGCAACTTATAACCAGAATGTAAAATGATGCAATATGCACATAATTATACTTTTAGAGAATATCTCCCTATGTTCGTAACAGTTAGCAGTATTAACTCAAATCAATTATAAAAATAGAAAATAGTTTTGGATTAATGATTTGTTAATAATATACTTTTCAAATATTCCACTGACAAATTCAAGTAACTTGGTGTGCCAAAAATTTGTACGAAACCTACTAGATTATTGATACTTCGCTATATGTCACATGTATGACAACATAGTATAACTTCAATATTTAAGTGTTTTGCATGCTATTTATCATATGCTAATTTTATTGATTGTATGCAATAGAATATTAAAAGCTGACCAGATATTCCAACAATAAAATATGTATATACACGTCTAGCTTTGAGTACCGATTTTCGTGTGTACGAAGAGCACAGTCACTGTGTTCAGGATAATAACATGTACTGAGAGTAGAACAAGTATTTTCCCAAGCGCTGAATTAAGTGGTTGTAATAAATATTTCGTGTTTCTTTCTCCAACTTACACGATCGTTATAGCGATTCACTCATAGACCTGTAAATACCGACCCAAGAGATGTTTTCAACGGGGTATACATGTATTCACATGTTTTCTATGCATTGAAGTTGTCTGTATTCTGTATTGAAAGAGAACTAACATCTGCGGTCAGCCTTTAGGGAAAATTTTTAAGTATTATGTAAATTCTTCAATACCACAAACCAAATTAAAATCAGAACTTACAAATGTAAAGACACAATTAAAAAATCCTTTGGTAATATGGCAATATAAAGTGTTCCATATTAAAAGATTATCACCATGAATTAAATCGTATTAAATATTACTTATTTGATGCGATTTTCGAAAATTTTTTCGTGCTCTTACATTTACTGAATATCTGAAGAAATAGATATAGCATTGAGTCCATTATAACAATGATTTGGCTTGATTATTTTTAAATATATCCGGCGAAGTATTGATGCAAACATATTTAAAATAGATGATCTATAGTAGGTAATCTATTTTTAGGGATTTTGGCAAAACCCTTTTCAATTAGAGTTGAAAAAATCATTAAACGTAAGACTTAGGTTATATCGTTGTCGTGTAGAGATTGTAACTAATTTTAGATATTTGTAGGTGTGCGAAATCTACAAAATACTAATTTTGGAAACTCTATTTTTAGGACCGAAAACTATAAAATTAGTAAATATCAATTTTGTACATAAACCCAATAACCTTTTGTCATTGGTTAACATGTAATATTAAAATCAAAAAATCATGTGCATTTATATTGCTTTCGTATTTTTCTAAAAAGCAGCGTCCTTTGATCAGAATTAATTGTGCGTATAATATGAAACACACTCGTGTTACTAGTAGTAAATAATTTTTTCATGATGGATTAACTAACACGCGTCCGATCATGTTTTAGATTAGTGTTATTGTTGAGTCTGATTACATTTATAAGATGATATTATATAGGTAATTAATTGTCTTTAAGAATAGTAACGGTGTATAACACTCCCACGATATTAGATAAAGTAAATTATTTTGATGGAATTTGTCCATTATATACTCTTGTTTGCTCATAAACAATAGTAGTGTCAATATTTAGTTCAAATGTTAATCTCTATACTAGAATAAATTTATGACGCATTATTAACCAGTTGTTTTATTTCAATCGCTTAAAATAAAAGCCAATAACCCTTGAGCAGTGCAATCGTCCAACTTCGTCGACATTAGCCGCCCATGTAGTCTAAGAGCTGCCTACATAAAAAACCTTATCATCCTTACATGGCTAATTTTTTGTGTGAAGTATCCTTTTGTGTAGCCCTTGTGAAATAGTCATGTCTGCCAGCGTGATCCCGGGGCTTAAAGCGGGGGCGGTCAATCGAAAGGGTGCAATTTTGACACTAAAAATATTATAAGGTACAGGGTGGGTCAAATTTGACGCTTTTCAATGGAAACACCCTTTTCTATAGGAAATCGACAAAAACTAATATCGGTGTCAGGAGCTCAATTTTGGTCAAAAACATGATGGTGAAAACCGCATATCGATATCTGTTACCGTTTCGGAGTTATAGGGTGTTTTTCAAAAATATGCATTTTTAACAAATCGCTATAACTTTTTTGCTATGGAAAATTTTGTATTTTTATGAAAGCATTTCCAAAGCACCTTTTTACGTAGAATTTAATGGTTCAAGTATATTTTTTTTAAAATTAATAATTTAAGAATTATCAACAGAAAATTTGATTTCTTGTATGAGACACCCGGTATATATTTAATTTATTAAAAAGAATTTAAAAATTACCTTTCCAAAAATATAACACACTCGATATTTTGCTCGATTCCTCTTCGAGATATAGAGTATATAAGAATTCGCCCGCTTTAAATAAGTAGGCTTTGAACGGCACCGGCTGTAATACAAAAAAATTCTAGCTGTGAACATCAATTAAAACGAAAATAATATTTGCTATGAGAGATGCAGAATTTTATAACAATTTAAAATATATTTAACCAACCAACACATTTAAACTATATCTAATAACAATAAAAATAAATAGCAAACCAAGACATGAGATTTTGCTACAGGTGTTCGACATATCAACCGTCTTCTCTGTTATGGACAGACGGGACTGCTTTTGAACATTTCTCGCGGAATTCATTAACTCAGTAGGGGTGAAAGATACCCTCTCCTAACTGCTAAGTATTTCTAATTCTTGATTAGGGAGTTTTCGTTGCTTTAAAAAAATTCAACGGTACGGTTAACGGATACGTAACCATAACCGCTATTTTGACAGATAAAAAAACAGTTTTCGGACTTTCGGTTCATCGGTTCGGAGCCGACATACGATACGATAACCGAAAACTGACAGCTGCATGAGAGCACAGCCGTCGTGTTTTGATTTTTGGTTTTTGTATTGTTGTTTGATTTGAAAGTGCTTTATATGACTTTATTGGGTATCGCTATAGAGGATGAACAATTTAATTTTATTGGACTCTAGTAATGAATCGGATTTGGAGGATGCTATGCTGTTGAAAGGGTTTGAAAACAACATCGAATATCGAGCAGAACTTTATGGGGAGTTCAACCTAGAAATATTATCTGACCAAGAGTGCAAAGCTAATTTCCGCTTTGAAAAAAAAAGACATTCCTCGATTAGTTGAAGCACTAAGAATTCCCAACGAGTTTAATACAGATAAAATAAATAATCAAAACATAAACAAAATAGAATGAGGTTAGGTTAGATCTGTATTTTTCAATGTTGTGTTCCACTGCGCTAGTGCGCATGCGTATCGCTATGTTAACGGCTTTGGCTAACGTCCGTAAAATATTGGCAGTTAGCGGTTACGATATACGATAATCGAAATTGAAATGTCAAAGTTGTCAATTAGCGTTAACCGGAATTGCAATTTGTAAGCAACGAAAACTCCCTATTATATGGAAGAATAAGGAACATTTATTCTTCCGCATCCTTATTCTTCCGCAAATATATCCATAGGATTAGATCCATGGGCACTAAGTCAGGCGGCCTCGACGGCCAACGGCTGGGATCTTGGTTAGCTATTCAATTATTCTTGAAATTGACTACAAAAATTTGCTGATACTTCAGCGTTCTGAGGCGGTGCGTCGTCTTGCTGGAAAAATATGTTTTCGAGTTCCATTAGGCATATCATCAATAAGGGGTCCAAAGCCTACTACCTAAAAGTGGCGAACTTTTAAATATTCTGTATTTCGAAGGGGATTATAACAAAATATCAAGTGTGCTATATTTTTGGAAAGGTAATTTTAAATTCTTTTCAGTTATTTAAAAACATAGAGGGTGTCCCAAATAAAAAATCAATTTTCCTGTTGATAACTCTTAAATTATTAATTTTAAAAAAATTATACTTAAACCATTAAATTCTACGTAAAAAGGTGCTTTGAAAATATTTTCATAGAAATACAAAATTTTCCATAGCAAAAAAGTTACAGCGATTTGTTAAAACTGCACATTTTTGAAAAATACCCCGTAACTCCGAAAAGGTAACAGATATTGATGTGCGGTTTTCACCATCATGTTTTTGATAAAAACTGAGCTCCAGACACCGATATTAGTTTTCGTCTATCTCCTATAGAAGAGGGTGTTTCCATTTAAAAGCGTCGAATTTGACCCACCCTGTACATGAGTTATAATTGCGAAAATAGCTTTTATTTATTATTAAAAAACGTGGAAAATTGATGGCAGGCATTTTTCTCGTCGCTAAAATGCCGGCAGACAACGCGAAAGAGGCATGAAGTCTCACTATTTCTATCTGACTCATCGTACATCGTACTGCAGATCCTTGCTCTCGCAAACGAGTCTTCCCTCTGAGTCGATATCTGCACAGCAAAATTTTTGTTACTTACATGTATTATGTTTCAACTGATAACGCCGCGAGCGTTTCCTGAAAACGCTCATACAGGGAGAGTTAAATAAGTGCAAATACTTTTAGGGGTCATATATTTCGACCCCAGGAACACGTCTATGAGATATTTTTCGCAAAAAAAGATGTTAAAAATCGTGCATTGAAGAACTGTCTGCTCACCGCACATTTATCCACGGTATAATTATTTCTTAACCTACAATGCTTACGGCTTTACTCTATGGTTACGACACTAAAAGAACGGATGCAAATACAGAAAAAAAAACAGGTGGCTCACAAAATTATTTAAAAATAAATCAATTTCTTTTTAAATTTTCAAACTGGAATAAATCGGTTATTCTGGACTTGTTTGGAAAACGGTAAAGAGAAAATATGTTTTTTTTATCGAGATCTACCGGCTCTGAAAATATTTGCATTTATTCAAGACTCCTATAGAGTAATATCGCGCTTTTGATAACTGTCTACCGCTGATTTAGCCACGATTTTTTTGGCTGCCCTTTTGCATGCGGCTTTTTAAATAAATAAACATGACATTCCACCAATCGGCATGCATGTATGCGATGATTTTTTTGTCAAAATTTCGTGCCTTTCGCGTTGTCGCATTTTAGCCACAAGAAAAATGTCTGCCAACAATTTTCCACGTTTCTTATTAATAAATAAAAGCTATTTGACAATTATAACTCGTGTACCTTATAATATTTTTGTCAAAATTTCACCATTTCGATTGGCCACCCCCCCCCCTTAAGCGCCGGATCGCGCTGTTTATTTTATCGCGCCACTATTTTATAATGGCTACACAAAAGGATACTTCACAAGAAAAATTAGCCATGTAACGATGATTAAGGTAGCCAGCTCTCCGTCTAATACACGCAAGGGATTTTTAAGCAATCGGTCCCGCTGTTTTGAGTACCCGGTCGTTCTGAGTACATATATTTTGATATTCACAAACGCGCATATCGTCCTTAGATTAGAACTAGTCTGTGTCAATTTTCTTCAAAATTGGGTATTTTCTTCAAAATTGAGACTTTCAGGCAGAACTATGTAGTAAGTGGAGATGACCAACAAATTGTAAACTGCAATCGCAGTCGCAACCTGCGATTGGCTCTCTTAGCGACTGCGATTTCTTCTATTTGCAAGTTTCAATTTAGGCTACCAATATTGCTACAGTTGCGATTTTGTTGCGATTGTGATTTTCTAAACTAGTACCGTGATAACCTACAGGTGATAACCTCCTATTTGCGAGTCTGAAGTTTTAGGAGTTGCGAATGTAATTTTGTGGTCCGTTGAAGCATTTTATAGTAAACTGCGAATGAATGTTTTCTCTAATTTTATTTAGTTATAGAGAAGGTATTTTCTAGTGTCAAGACCATAAGATATCGGGTATCAAGAGTCGTTCGCCCCTATAATATATTTTTTCTGATAAAAAATCGAGATTTGGTACGTTAGCATATAACATAAATTAAGATTAATTGACGCATTGAATTCGTTCACTTCCTGTTTCACCGGAAATGACTACAACTTTCGATTTTTAAATGGCACCCTCGGTATTTTTTACTTTATTTGATAGAAAATGACACTCTGAATAGAAAACCATATCATATGTACAACTTTTGACATTTAAGCTTAAAAAATTGTATCTATTTTAATAATTTTATCTAATTTTGTCTAGTGTTAAAAACACTAATTTTTAATGAAGGATTCTTGGAAAAAAAGATTTAATTGTCTATTGTTTTTCGTGTGTTGTCTTGGCTGATCAAAAGATGCCCAAATCGTATTTTTAATCATATTTCAATTTTTTCAAATTGACCAAGGATGACTCATAAGCATATATTTAGAAAAACAATTTTTTTACGAACAATTTGGTATCACACATTTGGTATTTCGAGTCATTATTGTCGGTATGAACCGCATATTACAATTTACAGTTAAACCACATGCGAAAATGTCAAAAGTTGAATACGATATGTCATACTATTCAGAGTGTCATTTTAAATCAAATAAAGAAATAAAAATAACGAGGGTGTCATTAAAATATCAAAAGTTGAAGTTATTTACGCTGAAACAGGATTCAATACAAATCAATTGAATACGTCTATCAATCCTGATTTATATCATATACTAACGTACCAAATCTCGTTTCTTTATCTGAAAAATAAAATAAAAAAGTTATAGAGGTGAGCCACCTTAAAAAAATAGTTCTATAAGATCTCTTTTAAGAATTGGATAAAGAATTAGATAACTGAGAACCGTAGAAAGAGTAGGTATTGATATGTGTAGTTGCAGCAGTTACAGCTCATAACGTTTTAATACATATACTACGTTTTGTAGATGTTAAAAAAATCTTAAAAACTAAACAACTGATTTTTATTAACTTCTTTTAACTGTTTAGCTATAGGTATATACACAGACAATTATATACCTAGTACAATATTTAAATATTAAAATCGCAGTCGCAGGTTACAGTCGCAGCGATTTAAAAATCGCAATCGCAGTTTCAATTACGATTGGAGAATCGCACTTTGCTCGTCTCTAGTAGTACAGTACGTCTGTCCGTTCTGTGGCTACGGGGTATCCGTGAGAGGGGAAACGATATTCTCTCGATATTTTTTAAGTAGCCAATAAGATGTTCTCGAAGTAGCCAATAAAATGAGTGGGCGGAGCGATTTGCGGTGACGTACTCGTCAAGTCGACGTACAAAATATATTGCTGTTTATTTAAATGTTTTTTGTCCGCATTCCTTTCATAGACACAGATCCAGCAGACGAACTGTAAAGCTTCGTGGATTGAATGCAAACTAATCTAGCCCATTGACATACAGTTCGTCGGCAATCCAGAACTGTCGATTTGTATATCGTCAGTTAAAATTTCTGCCGCTATTGCTGGACAAGTGAAAATGGCAGTGCTGCCAAAGCATTTCCCAGAGGTTACTCTGACCACCGACCAGCAAACGTCTCTAGAAGAGGCTTATACTGGACGAAGTAGTGACGATCGGATCCCAACACGACGATCTACAAAATGTGGGTCAGCTGCGTTTTGCGGGGATACACTTTCGGGTGGGCATGATCCTCATAGATTGTGTATCTCAAGAATCGGCGAATTGGTTGGTGGAAATCGCACATAAGCTTAAAAATGGGCAAGGGCCGGAACTGGTTGCAGTGAAAGGAGAAAACATCCCTAAAGAGGCGGCTATCACGGTCTTTCTGCTGAGGAGCAAGGGGAAAGACACCACCTACCTGCTGAGCTTTATCCCGGGTCAGAACTTCAATGTAAGAACATCGAGTTGGCGAGTCATCAACTCGAGGGAGGAGGGCCATGGTCAGGTCCTCACAATAGGAATTGACCTCATATCCAAGGAGGCAATAGAGAAAGAGGGACATATCCTCTATTATAGATACGGGACAACACCGATATCAGGTCTAAGGAAAGACCAAGTTAAAGAGGTGGAGAAAATGGAGACAGATCCTCCAGCCACCACCTCACGGGTTCCTCAGCCGGATGCAAGTTCCTCGACTGTGAAAGGCGGCACGGGGGGCCAAACTCCAACCGTGGAAGGGTGTACCCTCGAAGGAAGAACTGTTGTCAGAGGAGGATGGGAAATACCCTATCCCCTCTACAACAGAGGTATGATAGGTTATAGACTGTGTGATAACTCAAGGAAGGGGGGCACAATAGATCTTTAAGGTCGCAGTGATTAACCCCCTCTTACTCATTCTACATTCTACAAAGACCGCGACAGAACAAATCTTTTAAAAATCCTTTACGTGTATGGGCGGCTATTGGCATTTCAAATCTGCTTCCTATTGTCTGTGCAATCAATCAAAATAAAACTAAAACTTTAACTTATTTCCGTGGTCTGTGCTTTAATGCTTACGACAGAGATAAATATACATACCACCAGTTGGCAGACAGAGACAAAATAAAAAGCGGCATACAGTGTTGCCGGTTCGTACCAAAAATAAAATAATAAACGAAGATAATATATGAGGCCTCAAGTTTTAAAACCCGCCTTATCCAACAAACGTTGTTTTGAGATAATAAGCAAAAACTGTTTTAGCAAATGTTTGAAGCATTAATTTACAAAAACGTGTCCATTGAGTAGAATCATTGTTTTGTATCTCGTTTTTCTAGAAATCAAAATTAATATTTAATTTTTAAAGAGAAAAAAAAAACACAAAAATAATTCGGATAAGGCAGGTTTTGTTGCAGTATGATGCATATTGCGGATTTTTTATATAATATGATCAAAAAAAACGGCGTCAGCGATGACTACGAAATGAAGAATGCTGTCATTTTATATGTAAATTTATATAGACAACTGGACGTCGTTTTTTTCGATCATACGGTATTTGCATCCTAACTTGATTTATTAAATATACTACTTTATTAAAATTAAGTAAGGATTTGAAAAATCGTCAGTAGTGACATCATTAGTGATACATCAGTAGTGATACTTGTGTAAAAAGCTTATGAAAAAATGCGGGATTTGTAACAAATTTCGTAACAATTTATTTTGTAGATTTTCATCTAGTGGCGAAAAATCCAGAAGTATTTTTTCAAGAAATGTACCCGACACAAAGGTATACATTTACAATTCAGTTATTCTTTAAACACTACTGAAATTATAGGTATTACAAAGATTCAGTTTGTAACAATTCTGCAATATCTTCAAATTTGACTTTTTCAGGTGTGTATACAACATCCAAATAGCTAAAATAAAGTATTATTTATTAGTAAAACTATGAAAACATATTAATAAAAATCATACGTAGAAGTATGGCGCATGTGATTGTGTTCATTCAAAATCACCATCAAGAAGAATCATCGTGCATGTGATCGTGCATCGCTTTCCTAATTAGAATAGCAGAAATTCTGGAAACAAAAAGAAGTCGTCAAAAACATAACTATTATTCATTAAAAAAAATTAAAAAAATCATACCTAGGGTCAAGTGGCATGTCTTGATCCAAAAAGGGGGCATCAAAATTAATTCGTATTGTTACCGAATCTTCTGATAAGTCTTCTGCAGCAAGAGATATAGAATCAGCATTTCTGGAAACAATAAAAAAATAAATAACAGCGAAATATGTGTGAATTATAGTTTTTTTTTGGTAAGCACGATTATTTTGATTAGTTTGAACACTGTCTATACCGGGTGCATCTCAAAAGTGGCTCACTCCTATAACTTTTTTAAATCAGTATCTGACATGAATTACGATTGATTGGCCTATTCAATTGTTTTCGGTTATTTCCTGTTTCACCGGAAATTACTAAAACTTTTGATTTTTAAATGGCACCTTCGGTGTTTCGTTACTTTATTCAATAGAAAATGACACTCTGAATAGAATGACATATCATACGTCAATTTCGACATTTTCGAATATGGTTTATTAGACATGCGATTCATAACGACAATTTGACTCGAAATACCAAGTGTGTGGTACCAAATTATTCGTTAGAAAATGCTTTTGTGTTTTATACTTTTAAAATGTTATATGTACTTTATAACTTTAATTGATAATAGTGATGGGCAAAACTGTTATTTTTAGATAACAGTTGAAACTGCTATAGTTATTTATCAAAAACAGCTTAAAATAACAGCTTAAAAATAACAGGTTTCTTTATTTTATTGCTAAATATCTGAAAGAGTATGAGGCGGTCACCGCCAGGCGTATTAACGCAGTTACAAGTTGCAACAATGACGTGCTCGGTGGTAATATTTCCAGGGTGTCATAACATTTCTAAATATCGATTGTTATCTAAAATACCTCTCTAAAAACGGTGTCCCGATATTGAAGGATGGCTATAGAATTTCAATGCATTTCCTACATAAGTCTATCCTTGGTTTGTGGGAGGTTTGACTAAACAAGGATGAACCTATGTCTTGAAACCATTCGACTCGATTTTCTGTCCTCCTTCAATACTGGGACGTAAATCCTCTCATTGCTCTTATGGGGAGGCCGACGTATATTTTATTTAAACGTATTTGTTCCAGGGTGTCATAACATTTCTAAATATCGATTGTTCTAAAATATCGGTGATCTAAAATACCTCTCTCTAAAAACGGTGGTTGTTTACAAATAAGCGCTGTTTACAAATTGCGATATAAAAAGCCAAAAAATGCCGCCACTCGTCTATACCTATACATTCCGATCTACCTACGCCCTGACCCTCGATCCGCGTAGATCATGAATGCGTAGCAGTGTACAGGGTGCATCTCACTCGACGGGCGAGAAGCTCTTAGTTATGATTTTCCCATTTGCGGTCAAAAAATAGCAATATAAGAAAATGTGTAGTATATTCTTCATAAGTAAACCAACTACACACTTTTCGAATTAATTTTACACTTAAACTAGCGTGTACCCGCGACTTCGTTTGCGTCGAATTATTAATTTGTAATGATGATGATAAAGCAAAGCAAGAATTTCCATTAACATACAAACTGGATAAAATTTTCTCACATTTGCCGAAAATAAGCTTTAAACGTCGAGCAGATTAAGCAGAATCGTGGTTAATCAATTACTCAACTTTTGAACACCCTGTATGATTTTTTAAAAATTCAAAATATGTAAAAAAAAATAAATTATGCGTATCCAAGCGTTTTCCCCGAAAGACTAACCGTTTTTAAATAACAAATATTGTAATATTTGAGGGGCGTTTTCACCCTCTTGGAATTTGAGATTCGAGAAACCCCTCATTATCGAACCTCTACACCCCACAGTCAATCTTTTTACCAAAAATCAGCTTTAAACGTCAAGCAGTTTAAGCAGAATCATGATTACTCAATGGTCATATTTTATGAAACACCCTGTATATATTTTTTTTTAAATCTTAAAATATATAAAACAACAAAATAAAATATACGTGTTTAAGAGTTTTTCGAAAAACTCACCAGTTTTTAAATAAAATATATTCTAATATTTGAATGTGGTTTCACCCCCTTAGAATTTGAGTTTCGAAAATCTCTTCTTATCACCCTAAAGTCAATCCGTTTTCCAAAAAATCAGCTTTCTACGTCAAGGACTTTAAGCAGGATCGTGATTAATCAATGACCAGATTTTTCAAAACACCCTGTATACATTTTTAAAAAATCTTAAAATATTATTCCGAAAATTTTTTCAGAATAAATAAATACCTAAATATTGAAACTTAATAACCAAGTACTGAAACATACAGCGCCAGACCTCCGCCCGTTATGCTCGTAACAGGTTGAAAAACAATGTATCTAAAACAACTGATGCATTATTCTCCAACCTGTTTCGAACCTCCATTGACAATCGACCGATGCAGCAGCGTTACTTTCCCACTCCGATTATCTCGACCGCCGCTCTGTTATGCTCGTAACAGTTTAAAAAACAACGTAGCTAAAACAACTGATGCGTTATTCTCCAACCCGTTGCGAGCCTCCATCGACAATCAACCGATGCAGCAGCGTTCCTTTCCCACTCCTGTTATCTCGACCGCAAGGCGTTATGCCCGCAACTGTTTCAAAAAAGCTACTTCTTTTATATCCTATTATTTTTAAGATGTTGTAAGCCCAACACGCCGCGCCGCGCCGTAGCGCATACCCCACTCCGTTGTCCGTTGTATATCGCCGCCTGTCTCGATGGTTGTCGAAATAACATGTTTTCCATCCATACTAGTTGTTTTTTGGAATTGCTTCGAGCAGCATCGAATTTCGTGCGGTGCAGAGCGCCGACTTCGTTTCACGAACAGTCGATCTCTGCGTGTTGTTATTTTATATCTGTTATTTTTTAAAAGTAGTAACGGTTGCGTTATGTTATTTCTAAATAATTGTTAGAAAATAACAGATAGTTAAATAACAACCCATCACTAATTGATAATTTATTGGCTAAAATAAAAATTGGCAAAACGTTAACTTAATGGTATAATTTCAAATTAATCCAACAATACCTAGAGCCAAAATCCCAATAATACAAAAAATATAATTATATTCAGATTGTCATTTTCTATGGTATAAAATAAAAAAACACCGAGGATGCGTAATTTGCAAATAAAAAAGTTGTAGTCATTTCCAGTGAAACAGGAAGTAGCCGAAAAAAATTGAATACGTCAATCAATTCTAATTTATGTCATACTAATGTATCAAATCTCGTTTTTATCAGAAAAAAAATGGCGCCGGGAGGCACGTATAGCCGCCCATACTAAAATATGTTAATAAAAAGTTATTTTTAGGCAGTTCTTTTAGTTTCAAAGTAAAAGAATTTTTCCAATTTTGGTCCGCGGTTAGGTTAGTTATTTCCCCTATCCGCCACCTGGGGTCGCGTCCGATGGGAGTTTGTACTTCTCCACACGGATTTTCTCAAAAACGGACTACGGAAACACAGAATATCTCAAAAACTGCGACTTTGACTGATTTTGATGTTATTACAAATTTTGTTGCAAATATTATTCCTAATCTTAAATTGAAAACCGCGTTTCGCTAGCTACTGTAATTTTGGAGTTACGATTTTTAACCCC